CCGCCCCGGCCCCCTGGGGTCCCGGCTCCGGCCCCGCGTGCCCAGGCGCCTGCGGAGTAGGTTCGCCAGTCCCCGGAGAGCTGACCGGTGCTCCCGCGCACCCTCCCTGGGGGGCGTCGGCTGGGTGTGCAGGCTGCGTGCCGGGCTGCTGGGGAGACCGCGGGGACGAGGGAATAGTGGAGGACACGGGCCAGCGAGCCCCACAACCTGGCGGAGCGCCCCCTCTAGTCCTGGGGATTGAGCTCTGCTTTGACGGTGCTTAGGAACAGAGAGACAACAGCAGCGGGCTTTGTGCTCTGTGAGCAGTGCCCGCAGAAGGGGACGGCGAAAGCAGCATCTCTGGGCTCTGAACATGGGCTGCCCAGGCCCAGCGTGAAGGGCGCGCACCCTCCATGATCTTGAAGGGACCGGCTGCTATTCTCCCGAGCTGTGCCTAGCAACCTGAGCACAGTCGCTGCACCAACCCCAGCTTAGGGACCGACGCGCGCGTGAGCTTTCATTTCATTGCTTAAGTTACTGTTTCTGTGGTTACACCACAAGCCAGCCCATCTCCTCAAGATGTGATTTCAGCCCTATAGTCACGCCTCTGGGGGTAAGCCATCCTGAGCCCCAATAACCTTCACTTGAGGACATGGCAGCACAGAGGTGGACATACCCATTACTAAAACTGCCACACACAGAGATCTCTGCCACACCTCCAACTCCCAGGCGGTTTCTCTCATTAGAAAGGGCCACCGGGCTTGGGAACTGACTTTCTTAAGAGGCGTCTGAGGTTAAAGATCACAGCAAAATAAATGCTCTACAGAAGAGGCCTTGGTTTCCTTAAATATACGTTTGCTCTAATAAATACCTGCCGTGCCGTCCACCTATCAAAGAAATAGACTATTGCATATCATTTTAAAAACTGATACCTGAATAAACCTCCACTTGCCAGCTACAAAGAATACTGATCATTGTTGGAGAGAAACATTTTGAAAGAGCAAGTTGTGGCTAAATCATCCTTTTAAAGTGATTATAAGGATGACAGTCCTATCACAAGGGACAAGCAAAATGTAAAACTGGCTATTGAGAGCCGACAGACTATCCTGGATATTAAGTAAGTGTTAAGTCTGAAGTGGGCCAAGGCCCCTCCCTTCACCCAAGTTGGGGGCACCCAGTGTGCACAGGCTCCAGTGCTCATGCCCCGTCCCTGGTCACAGCCCTGTTTTCCTCCTAGTTTTTAGCATGTGCCTGGCTATTGCTGGTTGCCAGCTTCTTCTCCCACCTCCTTCCATCTAGCCTCCGCTCTCCAGGGTCCTGCTGTGGGACATTGCTGGGCCTTCTTCTTCTCAACAAGGGGCAACAGAGAGCAGAGCACCAGTTGGTCAAGACTGTCGGGCTCTCAAGCTGGGCCTCCTGGATTGCATCAGGGAAGGCCAGTTGTTAAAGCATTTGCTGATGTATGACAGGGAATATTTCTATAAAAGCACATCTTTCCTCTCTGCCTTGTCTTCCTCCATTGCATTTATCATCATTACCTGGTATTATTTATGGGTGAGCTGTCTTCCTGCACTCAAGAGCATACGCTCCAGGACAACAGGGACATGCTTTGTTCCCTACAGTGACCTCAGCACCCAGAACGGTGCCTCGTACATTATGGGCACTCCTATTTGCTGGTGTGATCATTTTAACTCAAGTCTTATAAAGGGTCCCTTTGAAGGCTCCAGGGAGAGATGCTGTGATATGCACAGAGAGCCCAACTACCCACACAAGTGTGGGTTGAAATAGTTGGCTGCCTGGATTACGTTCAGTTGGTGGTTCTCAAGCCCCCTCCTTTCACATTGGTAGCATGAGGGAGCTCCCCCAAGTCCCTAGTTCCTGGGCCTCACCCGTACACTTTTGATTGTAGTCATATTGCTTTTAAATCTCTGTAAGATCGCTTGTAGGATGCTGGTAGGAAGTCAATAAAAGTTGGGTAGTAGTTTCAACATAGTATTGAGTACATGGGATGTTTGATTTTTCCATCTAATGCATACAATGTACGGGTACACGGCACACTTCCTGGGTGAAGGGCACAAGTACACTTGGACTTTACCTTACAAACGCAAGCAATGTAATCTAATTGTATATGCCCTCATATTAAACCGAAATAAATAAAAAAATAAATAAATGAAAGTTGTCTAGCTTAAGGCTCAAAGTATAATCATGGTTAATCACCAGGGTGCTATGTTTACAACCAAGTGACTAAGAATGTGCTCTAAGGTGCCAAGGAGGGGCAGAGGTCAGCAGCTTCTTTGTGCTCGGGTGAGAAGTCTGGGACTTATGGTGTGGGTGAGTGGGCATTTGGAAAACCCAGGACGCTGTGGTTCAGGGCAAGGAGAGCTTCAGCAAAACCTCAGGCAGACAAAAGTGTATTAGGGCCCAATAAAAAAAAAAA